CCACACACATCACTCTAACTTGGTTAAATTTGTAGAAAAAAACATATATATAAAATAGCAAAAACCCGGTGTGTTTTCCACATTCCTACACCAGCATCTGTGATCAATTACAGTATCACAAACAACCTCGCCTAACAAACAACACTCCTGCTGACTCTACATTGTTGGACTGAGTGTTCATAGTATAACAACGTATTACGTGTTTAAATAAGGGACATTAGATAAGAGGAGACAGTGAATCTTGAATAAAAATCTATGGGAGAGTTCTGTAACACAAAAGAAGCGTCTCCCCTGCCCCTCACCCCGAGAGCCAATCAACAGATAAAAAGAAAAACATATCAGCCACTCAATAGAGTTTGGAATTTCAGAATTTATAAAGGCCACTAAGCAGGAGACGATAGAGAAACACCCTTCAACCATGAGTGTTGATGTTGCACAGAATGTCCACCAGGGGTCACTCTGGAACTCCCTTTTTAGCAATGCCACATAGGAAACAGGCAGCTGTTGGGCACACTTGGGCAGAGCAAGAACATGTAAATAAGTAACTACATATAACAAATGTTACAAAAATCTGTTTGATTTGTGTGTCAAAGGAAAAAAAAAAATCCAATATTCTATATTTTTAATTCACCAAATATCAATATTAGTCTTAAAAATCCTATATAACTTTGCTCTTCTACAGTGCTGGCTGATGGACCAACAACAGCTCAAACAAGATTAGCCTACAGACTGATGTGTGTACAACATATTTTTGACCATGCTCCCATCTGATAGCAGAAGATCTCTGCAGATAGGCAGGAAGGCAGTCTGTAGCTGCAAACTGACTGCCAATGCGTCACAGCCGTTGAACCATAAATTTCCCCTCTATTGCTGGGTTGTTTCCCAACAATTTAAAACAGTGAGAGCAAGATAAAAAGACAAAAGGGCAATAGAGGATCTTAATGAACAGTCAAGCAACAGCAACAACCAGATACCCCACGTTTCAAAAGACAAGAACACTGTTGAGAAGAATTTGATAATATGGAGGTATTTTGGTTATTTAAAGTCCAACAAAGAAGCAGAGCAGCGTGCACTGCCAGTTGTATTGAGAGCATGTTTCCACTAATGTTTTTTATCATCTGAAGCAGCACCATGCTTTAAAGCACATGCAATGCAAGACTTTACAGTTCCAGACATGTCCTTATGTACCAGAACTTACAATGGAAAATGAAGAGACTGTGATATGAGAAACGCAAGTCTATTTTACTGCAAAACACGCCAATTAGCACAGTTGACAATTTGGCATTTAAGTGGCTGAGTAAAGTAACTGAACCTCATAAGCCAACTCCCTCACCATAAACATTTCTCTCAGATGCTACTTTTTTTTTTTAGGATGGGCAGAGACACTCTTCATGTTGGCTCATGTAACATCCTTTTATTCTATGAATGCATTGTGCAAATATAAAAAGCTTTTTAAGCCTTTTAAGCATGATTTTAGTGTCACTATTTCTACTACTTCTTTGTTTCTTCTATTCATACAGTTATGTCCCTGTAACCACTGAAATGACAACTATGGCTCTCTACCCATTCAGTCACATAGGTGCTTCAAAATAGCTGCTCAAATACCTGCCTGGAGGCATTTTGAAGACAGCTGCCGGGTGGCTAAACTTACATTGAGCACAACCGGTTTAAATACAGCTCAAATATTTAACAAACAGCACAGAATGAAAAGGCCAAAGTCCATAATGTTTGCCTGAAACTGGCAGACACGTCTTAAATATTAGCCAGGCTGTTGACTGTTAACAGCATAAGTTTACAGTGGAGGAAGGGTGACTGCTGAACTGACATTCAGAATCTATGAAATACAAAATGACATCAGTTTAAATGTAATAAAGGTGCCTATTTTGATCAGGATGCTGTTGAAAGAAAATATTTATAAATGTATAAATATGTCTGTGAATGTTCTCAGTCATTCAGGTCATTGTAGTCTAGGAAGCTTGGAAAGAAAAGCGTCTGGACTTCTTTAAGTTGCTTGAAGATGTTTCACCTCTCATCCGAGAAGCTTCTTCAGTTCCAAGGTCAAATGGTGGAGAGTCCCAGATTTAAGCCCTATGGGAGTGTCCCTCAAGAGCCTACAAAGAACCCCCTAATGATCTCAACCTAATCACCCGTTTCACACCGAGCCAAGGTGTGAAAACGGGTGTAGGTCACAATCAACCAAGGTTTAGAGTGAACTCATTGTGAAACCTAGCCCTACCCTATCGTGATTTACTGAGATCAAATGGCCCAGGATGTGAGTGGACGTTAAAGGGTCTGGGAAAGGATCTCAAAACTGGATTATAGATGGCAGACAGTTGATGTTGTAAGCCACCGCTTCTGTTCAAGGATGGTCGTTCACAGTGGACATAGATGGGGGAGTGAAAGAAGCCATCTATGTCCACTGTGAACAACCATTTTTGAATAGAAGCGGTGGCTTATGACTTCCCAGACACCTTAACGCCCACTCACTTCCTGGGCCATTTGATCTCAGTAAATCACATGATAGGGTGGGGCTAGGTTTCACAATGAGTTCACTCTAAACCTTGGTTGATTGTGACCTACACCTGTTTTCACACCTTGGTTTGTGTGATTAGGTAGAGATCATTAGGGGGTCCTTTGTAGGTTCTTGAGGGACACTCCCATAGGGCTTAAATCTGGGACTCTCCACCATTTGACCTTGGAACTGAAGAAGCTTCTCGGATGAGAGGTGAAACGTCTTCAAGCAACTTAAAGAAGTCCAGACGCTTTTCTTTCCAAGCTCCATAAATGCATAAAGGTGCAAAGCTCACTGTAAACCATGCAATTAAAGCTGAGATAAGCCAAGGGGCAAGTTCCCATTATTTCAAATTAACAGAGCTGTTGTAGTTGATTTCGCTGTCAATAAGTGCACTGGATGTGATCCAGGGTTGCACAAAAACATGAGCTTGAGACAAAGAAGAAACAGTGTTTGAGAAAGAGGTGGGGGGGAAAGCACAGTGGTCTAGTAAATAACCCTTCCCTGCGCTCTTTCTTTAACTGCGGGGAGGCACTTCCTTGCCATAACATCAGCTTCCTGTGGTGGCGTCTCCCAAGAAAAAAAACAGAAAAGAAATGTCGACCCTGCAAGGGTGACTGTTTACAAAGACAAGCAGAGATCAGTCCAGTTGAGACACAGACTTTTTCAAACCTCAAATTTGACTTAAAAAATGTCTGGTTATTAATGCCAAACAGGAATGAACCATCTTATGACAAAGCTTTAACTATTTAAATCTTTAAATCTATAGACTAGTGAGTGCTTATGGTTTTTGCACTCAGCTGTCAAATGCACATTCATCTATGCAAAGGGGTATTTATGTACTGCACCCATACAATAATACCGTTCTCCTGTACACTGCTGTTACTGAGTCAGTCTGATCACCTCCTGCAGTGACACTTTCAGTCACCTGAGAAAGAGCGGCTCCTCTGTTTTTTTCCCCCTTCACCACCACATAGCACTGATGCACAAAGAATCACAGCCAACAACTATGTGGTGTAACCACAATATCCAGAACTGCTGACTAACATCTTACTCGTATATCTAAATCCAGTTATCAGTTTGGTCACAGTCCATGTTTAACCACTAACCATGTGAGCTCTTCTCCCAGCGGTGGACCCTCTTTCAAAGACGGGTAAATCCGGTGTTACTTGAATCCTGCCACAAACTCTGTGTCCTTGGGCCTGCTCAGCATATTTATAAGTGCCACAGAGCACGTTAAAAGTAACCGCTTAACTGATTAACTAGTCGTACATTTTCTGTGTTCGGTGCCACTAGAGAACAAAGTCTCCAAGACTGAGATTTCCCCAAAATGTGTTTTTGTTCTATTCTCAAAGACAAATTATTCATCGGCCAGAGACCACAAAGCTATATTTCCCCTTTACTATCTTCTGGAAACTAATCTCATGAGGAGACTGTGGTATATTGATCTCTCCAAACTGTTGACAAAAGTTGAGAGACATCTGTGGACACCTGGTTTTACATATAAATATATATGTATCTAATTTTCAATAAATGGAGTATACGAATAAGTCACATCTTTGAAACAGCATGGTCAACCAAAAGACAAGCTGAGATATCAGTAGTGTTGACTCCTCTGAAACAGCAACACAAACGTCAGCCCTAATACGACGTGTGAAATGTACACGTATGTCATTTAGCCATTTTATTTTAGGGAAAAACAATCTGCCCACACTACGGAATAAATGAACATTTGTACTACCCTAGGAAAAACAAATAGCATCTTAAAATTATTGACATAACCTAGCTAGCTAGTTAGCTGTACTGTCAGGCAGGCAGTTAGTAAACTTCCTGCTTTGCCTTTCAAAACTAAAGCACCAACCTAGACACGTAAGCACACCCCTCAACAGCTACTATCGAAAATGTCAACAGACGAGTGAAAATAACAGTTAAAGATGACATGAGGTATAATGCACGCAGACACAAGATGTATTTTTTTTAACTGCAGATACTTTTAGCTAATGAAAAATGTTCTGCAGCAAAAAATCAGGACATATCTAAAACACTATTTAACAGTTAACAAAGCATGACGGCAACTTTATTTTGAGGGAAAATCTCGATTTAACAATAGCTCTGGTTTTACTGGCACACATGAAACTACTGTACGAATGCCCCCCGCCGAGACTACTTGGCAATCTACTTATTGTGAAATTATTTATGAGATGACTCAAAGCACGCTCGTTAGCTTGACAGCTTATCCAAAATCGGGTGTAAGGGTTAAAACAACATTTCAAGCAGTAGTTAAGCCAACACAACTAAGAAAACTAGGCTTGGTTGTTCATGTGACCTCGGCGTAGGTGCCTGCGTTTCTTTTCAGTCTGTTAATTTCACCGCGCTGCCAGCAAGAAATATCAACAATTATGTCGCTAATGCTATTATTAAGCTAACAATGTTAGCATAGCCGGCAAAAAGACAGCGCCCCTCCACTTAACTGCAGAAATATTCCTACCTACGGTTCTCCTTATCTCCCAGCTTGGCAGGTTAGGGCCCGATAGGCATCCATTTGCGGTCGCTAACAGTCTGCCTAGCCCACAACGTGTTACGGCAGCGGGCAGCACCGGTTTCGGATGTCGGCTCCCTTCTGTTGGCAGCAGCCGCCGCATGAGCCTCTGCCCCCTCCCCGTGTTGGATCACCTCAGCATCACCCGCAGGAGGGACACTCCACTGCCTCCACCATAAGCAAATATGTGGTTAATTTGTAACCAAATTAATATAAATATATATGTATCTAATTAACCAAATGTGGTTAATTTGTAACCAAATTAACGACTTTACACGATTTAATTTAAAATGAAGAAACTGAAAAACCATTTGGATGAATGCTTATCCTCTTTTAATCTCTAAGACTAGTTTGAAATATATCTGAAACCTCAAGTATTATCACACTATTTATGCGGGCGGAAAAGTATCAGAATATAAACATAGACAGGGACCCAGCCACAAATCCGGTCTCTGGAAAACTATAAATTGAGCCTGATTAGGATCCTGTTCTCTCCTGTTTTCACTAATCTAATTTTCAGTGAAAACATTTCATACTCTTGAATGTGGTTTAGGCTCAGTTCAGTACATTTCATTCATTAAAGAGGAATAAACCCCTTATCCTGATGACACTGTATACTGAAAAAGGACACAAGAAGAGTTTAATACCGCCAAGTATTTATTTACATATCACACTGGTCATCCTAAAAGTTATTGCTTATTTCACATGAATCAAAAGCCTTTAGACTTTGTGCTAACAAGTTTAAATACTTAAAATGATTTGGAAAAATGTGAATACACAGTGTTTTTTTTCACAGAGCTTTAACTTACACTAGGTACAGCATGTCAATGATAAACTTATTAATAACTCTCAATACATGAGTGCATCACTATGCTTCAAGGATCCTACTGGGAAATGTTTGGTGCTCCAGATCATCATATCATTCCCAAGTGCTCTCATTTCTACAGCAGTGTGGTTTTTGTTATATAAAGGTGGAAGACTACAGTGAAGGAATGCAGAAAGTAACACACACACACACATATATATATATATATATAGATTCCAGCTGAATTCATCAGTTCAGAAAGAATCTAACCAAAAAAAAGTGGATGCATGAATTATGGGTAAAAAGACAAGTGTGAAATTAACACACAGCACAGTATACATTCCATGGGTGGAAAAAAAGGGCTTTTTCTGGAATGATTTTTCCTTTCACTTCTCTGTACCTCCTCCAAAAAGAATTGGTATGTACATGAAAGTTGGCCCGGACTCCACCAGAAGAACCTGTAAAAGGTCACTACACAAACTGTATAGCACAGAAAACAGTGTTGAGGTCAACATGCCTGCATGTTGCTGCATCTTAACTACAGTTTTCAGTCTTATACGTTTTAAATTCTGTACAAAATTCAGAGTGTGTAAACATTAGGATAACTGAAATGTTCTACTGATCGTCAGCAGGGAAACATTGGCACAGGTGAGCTTTAAACCAAGTCAAACAGATCTACGAAAAACAAAAATATATTTAGACTTCAAAAATATAAGTCTGAAAAAGTCCATCCACCCCACATCTTATAAAATCCAGCAGAAGTCATCCCCTATGGATATGGAGCTGATGTGCACAGTGACCAAACAGAGCGGGGGTAAACATTAACATATCGTATTCTAATATTGCTTTTAAAAATGTAAATTAAAAAAAGAAATCATATATTTTGTCCACACATCATAATCAGATGCTTTTTACTGACACAGCAGGTAAGCTTAAACAGAACAGGGCATGGTCATTATAGCTCCAGGAGAAATGGCTTTGCTCATGGTGGCTGTTTCCAGTTTTCAGTGGGTCAAAGGCTCCCCCTGGTGGTTACATGAATAGGAAACCAGCAGCGTCGCTGTTATACTTCAGTAGAGAAGAGAAGGCTCTGACGTTTGCTGTCAGGTGTGGGAATGCTGTCAAGCTGAAGGAAGTAGAGAAGGACTTGGACCTATGGAGACACACGAAGAAGGGATCAGACCCATACGGGGTCTCTAAACGCTGCAGTCTCGCTCATCACGGGTTTTACCTGAGCCATGACCTCTAGGGACCAGCAGTCGTTCATGGAGATTGGCTGCGAGCTGCTTGAGAGTTTGCTGTCTTTTTCAGACGGTCGAAGCAAATTGGGGCCAAAGACGGTGGCTATGTTGTGCAAAGACATCTTATTGATGCTTTCATTTTCAGCCACCCTATAAGAATGATGTAAAAAAAAAAAAAAATTAGTTTAGCAAAATCCTAACTAAACAGCACATCTTCACCAAAAGGTATAAAATGTAAATGCAAAAGATGAGGTAAAAAGCGATGTCAGCAAACTGATTCTGTACCAAAAGTGTGCAAACAATTACATTCAAATTAGTTACCATAACCATCTTTTACCACACAAAATTCATATTTAACCAAACTATGAAACATCCACCCATCTTCATCTGTTTGTGAGGCAGCAGGGTAAACAGGATATTCCGGATGTCCTTCTGGGCAGCAATGTTTTCTAGTACCTCCAGGGAGCTTCCAAGATTTTCCCAGGCCAGATGAGATAAATTCGCTTACGGAAGTTCTGAGTCTACCTCAGGGTTCCCAGAAAATCACAAAGATCAAGTACCACCAAGAACCATGTCTGTGGGGCTTTTCTGATGTGAAGAATCATTGGCTCTACTTTAACCCTATGTTTAAGGCTACATGTCCAGCTACCCTACAGAATAAACTGATTTCAGCTGCTTACAACACTATTCAGAGCTCATGATCATATTCTGCTTTCTCAGTACTCTTTTCACAAAAAATGGCCCTAAGAGGCAAAAAAAACCCTTGATATATAAATGTAATTCTTTGAAGATTTGACAGTCTTGTTTAATGTTCTTAAAGTGTCTTCTATTTTGATAACTCGGTACGTGCTATAACAGATTTAATGAAAGCTGTTTACCTTTTCAAGTGGTCAAGCAGGAAGAGAAAAGTCAACAGATTAGGCTCCGGTAGGGACAGCAGAAGGTTGACCATACAGCTCTCCTTGGCCACACTGTCAGAAAGAGCTGTAAGGCAGATGCACATATGAATATTCTGGTGACAAAAACAACAAATGTATCTCCTCCTGACCAACAAACATGCTGTAGGGGTGAGTTAAACATGAGGTGGTGACTAACCAATGCCTCCAGCAAAGTTTGGGTACAACTCATCAGTGAAAAGAGGCTCCGGCAGCTCACGGAAATACAGCTTCAGTGTTCCCGCGATGGCGTTTACGTCCATCTCCAGCATCATGAGAGCCACGTCCTTGTTGTCTGCAAGACAAATGAGACATCGGTCAGTATATGCCAAGGAATACAAGAGCTTTGAGGGAAAAAAAATACTGAGCAGGGTGGAAGTCGATTTCTCAGAACTCTTTTCTTACATTTGTCTTCACATCAAGTATATTTGTTCTAAAACAGCTGTCTCTGTTTCCCAAGTTTAAAGTGAACTCACTTGAATCAAAGGCAGCCTTCAGCGCCTGAATGTCAGTTGCGACACCAGATACTCTGTAAATCCCAACTTCGTCCATGCCCCGTCGCTCAATCTCCTCTACACACTGGCGGACAATGAGCGGGACCTTGGAGCGTTCTCGCCTATTAATGACACAGTGGCACAAAAACAAGGTTACACCTACTAAGAATTCCACAGATCGTAGAAACAGGGCATGTAAATCAGACCACAGCTGAATCTATTTACTTTATCACCAGTACTAATGTTTTTAAAGACCACATTTGCATCAATCTGTTCTGACTTGTGGCGGTCTAGCTTCTTTCCTTTTGTTTTTTAGTTACAGTCAAATAAGCTTTTTCCACATAAGATAGTTTGGCATGTTTCTGGCGTGAATGACAAAATGAAAAAAATCCACTTTGGTGCTTCACCTTTAGGGTCCTGGTGTTACGCCAAAAACAAACAAACAAACTTTCACATATACTGACAAAATGAAACATGTTAAATCTTACAAATAGATAACAATGACAGTCAACACATAACAGCTACTCACTTTGTTACTGCGTTGATTTTCACTCCAAAGACGCCAGACTGCTTCCTGGAAGGCATTCGCTTCAAACTGAACTCTCTGCCGGTGAACTTCATGGAAAGCTTCACCTCAATCTGACAAAAAGATTAGATAAAGTCAGCCTGAGTGATAACAACAAGTTCAATCCTAAAACATAACATAAAGAGGCAGCAAAACGACTTGATGATGTCTGTTTTACTGGACTGTTAATCAAAAGTTAGCAACTGTTGGCAAGTGGCCAAAGCAGGCTGGCAAGTCGAGCCCCATAGACCTCCATATTTATATATTACTTTGGTTCAAGCTCATTTCTAGCGTCGATTTTTCATCTTGGACTCTACTAGAGTAGCTTTGCATGATTCACAGTTGAAGATGGTCCACAGTTATCATATTTATTTCATCCACCATCTGAAACAAGCTGCTCTCCCTCCCTGCCCTGCGTCCTTGCTTTAAGCCAGCTTTCTTTGGCCAGGCTGCCTCTCTCAAACTGAAGGATTTAACAGCACGTCTGCGGGGCTTCTTTGCTCAGTGCAAGAGCTACTTGCCTGAGATGTTATTATGTTTACCTACTTTCATTGCACTCGTCACTCAGCTTTTAGCTCACTGGGATTACTCGCACATGCTCTGACATCATTGTCTTAATCTTAATATGAGATAAGGAAAACATAGCTGATCTCCTTTAACAACGTGGCACAGTTGATTCCAGTTAAACAGAAACACAAAAACAAACGAACTGGTTAAACGGAAGATGATGGATGGCATATTTGAGACATCTTAAAGTGGATTTTAAGCAGCCTTAATACTTTCTTAATATCTATTCATCATTAATAAGAGGAAATGGCGAGACAAACAAGGAGAACCAGCATTTAAATCTCAACATTTATCTTTCCAGTAAATTTTGTGTGGACTCGACACTGAAACCCACGCTGCCGACTTCGGTGTCATTCCTAATTTAGCCGGTTCTCTCTGGTCAGCTGGAAACACTCACCCCATTCATGGTGATGACTGTCCTCTGCCAGTCTTTACTTTGTAGCGTCTGTGGATCCAACTAGAAGGAAAGAAAAATAAATAAAAATGGACAATGAGTTCACAATTTAAAAAACAGAAAACATGCGCCTATTGATCTGAACTGAAAGTTAGTGAGCGAGAACAAATTTAGGGAAAATTTCA